ACGATGAGATGCTGTGCAAATCACTTGCCCTATTCGCCTCAGTTGCCATATCTGTTTAATGAGCTACAGAAGGAAACGGCAAAACACTCCAATATCTTTGCCAAAAAAATGCCAAATGGGGTCACAAAAAGTCGGATCTGACCGAAAAAGACTGAAATTACTACATATAAAGCATTGTTCTTAACCTTGGTAAAATAATAGCAAAGTGAGAAAGACCCTGGCCTCATGTGTACGTGTACATGTACATTCCCCCCCCCATTATTATATTATACGTATTATTGTATATATGCACATAATTGTTTGCATGCTGTCACTCTGATTAGAATATAAGCTCTTTGAGGGCAGGGACTCTTTGTATTCCCTGTGCCTAGCACAGTTCCAGGAACATAGAAAATACTGAATGTTCAGTATAGCTGGATAAATTATTTTTTTTCATTGATTCATTGAACTAGAGGGGATCAGGGAAGGTTTCACAAAATAGATGGTCAAATAAGAAGGAAAATGCATAGAGGGTGAGAAGCCTGCTTGTTAGCAAAGTTGTTAGCTGGACTTAAAGTCAGGAGAAATGTGGGTTCAAATCTTACTTTTAATCCTTAATAGTTATCTGACAGTGACTAGCTCACATCTCCTCTCTGAGCCTCAGATATAAAATAGAAATAATAATTCAATCTACCTCACAAGATTCGGTGAGGATCAAATGAGATAACATGTGTTGGGCTAGAAAAATATCAGTTATTACTATTTTCATATTATCAAGAGTCACTTATGTGTACAAAGGGGCAAAAAAAGAGGCCATCCTGGAAAAATAGGGCCAGAAAAGAAGGTAGGCTGATTGTATATATGTCAGTCAGCAAGCACTTACTATGTGATAGGCGCTGTACTGAATGCTGGAGATGTAAAGATATACAAAAGCCGTTGCCTCAAGGAGCTTATTCTCATGTGGGAGACAGCATTCTGTACATGCATCCAAGTTATATACAAAAGAGATAGAAGACAATCTCAGAGAGAAGGCCATTTAGGATGACAGTGGGTGGGGGGGGCAGGATGTAGTAGGAGAGATGAGAAAGACCTTCTGTAGAAGGCAGGATTTGAGCTGAATCTTGAAGGAAGCCAGGACAGAGAAAGGAGACTATTTTAAGCATGGGAGACATTCAGTGAAAAGTCATGGAGGCCTGCAGCATGATGGGTGGACCATTTCTATCAGGCATTTGCCTGAACAAGAGGCCCCATGGAATGAGAAGGGATGGATCAGTTGTGGTTCGAATTTCTGGAGGGGAATACACATATTGATGAAATTAACAGCTAAATACTGAAGTCATTTATGATGTTCAACTTCTGTTGAGTATATCTTTATAATGTAACAACTGCAGTCTTAGAGCTCTAAGTGACCTCAGAAGTCAACTGGTTTATCATCTCATTTTGCAGTTAAGAAAACTGAGACCCTGGGAGGTGGCATCCCAAGATGACAGTGAATTAGTGGAAGAACTGGGTCTAGAACCCAGGTTTCCTGACTCTCTCAGTCCCATGCTCTTTTCACTAGATCACTATCTGTTATATTTCTCCAAAGGGAGTCCTGGGTTTGCTGCTAGTGAGAAGAAGAGATGAAATGATTTTCGGTTCTCCTTTATTCTGTTGCGTTTACAGGTAACATTGAAGAGAAGGTAAATAGGCCTTTTGAACACATCAGGGGTTGGGCAAATGATGCTTCTATTTGCCTAAAGCTAGGCTGGATGAAAAGGGAGACATGGGGAGGGGATGGAGCAGTCTCCTTTCTCTTGCACTAGCTGGGGAACACAGGTTCCCTAGCACTTCAGGGAGATGGGAATGCACCCTGAGTTTTTAAAAGATGGGATAAATACTTTTGCAAGGGCAAAACCCTGCTGTGTCAATGTGAGGTATGCCTTTATGGTTAAATTATAAACACAATGGTGATGACACTCACATTAGTAGTGCCAGTTCTATTTTAAGTAATCTGACAGACATGTGAGAGTTTTAGTGCTTTTGAAATTGAATCCATATTCTTAGATGGGAACTTATGAAAACAAAGCCCTGTGGTGGGAAGAAATAATCAAAGTATATAGGCCTGAAAGGGGCCTTTCATAATCATCTAATTTTAATGCTATTTGTCATTCAGTCAGTCAATAAACATTTATTAAGTGCCTACTATGTGCCAGGCACTGTGTAATTCCCTTCAAACTTTCTTCAGGTTGCCATCATTATTGCCATTTCTATGAGTATCATGGCTATACAATATCTCCTTACCTTTTTCAAGATGACAGCTACTTTGACCTTTAATTGTTGATGAGATGGTAGGGAGATAAGAGAAGGGAGGTGCTAAGATAAATAATAACATATATACATATGTATATATACATACTATATATGGAGAGAGAGAGAGAGAGAGAGAGAGAGAGAGAGAGAGATCACTTTAATATTTATAAAGAATGCCAAGAAAAGATCAGAGGGAAGGCCAGAAAGAGGCACAGACAAGCAGGATAGCTTTGAAAGGTATGGATTGAATTTATTACATACTTTAAAAGAAAAACAAGTTGTACATAATAGAGATGAGGCAGCAAGTGATTTATTGGATAGAATGCTGGACTTCAAGTCAGGAAGACCTGAGTTCAAATTCTCTTCAGATACTTAGTAGCTGGGCAAGTCACTTAATCTCTCTAAGCCTCAATTTCCTCATCTGTGAAATGGGGATTAAAAAAAGCACCTCATAGGGTTGTTTTGAGGATCTTAACAGCTGAATTCATGGTCAGGCCCTGTGCTGCTCTAGAACCAGGACAAGATAAGAGAGGAAATGAGCAATGTTGATATGTTGATATGCCCTGAAGAATCAGCTTCATGTCTGTCTGACATGCCATATTTAATTCAATTGCCCATCATTGGGAAAGATTGCTCAGAAGTTGACATCTGTAATGTTTGGTCTTTAAATGTAATTGAAATAAATTGATACCAGAAGAGTTCATTGAATAAATACATTTTAAAGAAAAACCTGGAGAAAAATATTTTAATAGTTTGAGATGCATCATATCCCATTCTCTGCTGTCAGAGAAGGCTGGCAAAGGCATGGTGATTACCAGTTCATTGTCCAATAATCTACTTCCTATTTGAATATACCTTAAATGGGATACATGTTACAATTGATGTATTGTTCATACATATATATATATATATACACATATATATGTGTAATGACTGTAAGAATTAATTGTTATTGGTAAGCTAAAGGTGTCTCTCAAGATCTCCCAAAATTCATAAAATAATTCTTGGACCTATGGAAACCAGATGCCTGGGAAGAAGGCAAAGGACAGGAGGGAAAAGAATCAAAGACTTTGCTCATAGAAGCTGGACACCAGCAAAGATGAAATATTCAGATAAGTGTTTAGCTTACTCTGGAATGGGAAAAAAAAAGCAAATTAGGACTGGAATTAAATGCAAATTTTTCAGGGATATGGGGAAAAAGAACCAGAAACTGAGAATAGTCTATCTAGTCTCACATGCTTGGAAAGAAGAATCCAGAGCCGAAAGGGTGTACTAAGGTTTGTTACTAAACTAGACCAAGCTAGACTCATGGACTTGGAATCAAGTTCATACTTCATTTGTACTCTCATAGCACCCTCAGAGACAGGATTCATACCTTCCTGGTGTCCTCAGAGACATAATAAAGGCATTTTTATTATACTCAAAAAAATTCAGCCTGGTAGTGTGTTACAAAATGCTTACCATGAAGAGGGATACAAGCAAGGGTGGGATATATTCTCAAGGCTATAGCCACAGGAAAAAAGCCCCAAATCCTCCCCATGGGGCAGCCAGCACAGGAAGCCTGGCCATGTACACCTATATAGAAAAAGTGAAAAACAACTAACTTTCTTCTCAATCAATAAATCAATAAACATTAATTAAGCACCTAATGGGAGCAGCTAGGTGGCACAGTAGCCTGGAATCAGGAAGACCCATCTTCCTGAGTTAAAATCTGGCCTTACACACTTACTGGTTGTATGACCTAGGGCAAGTCACTTAACTTTGTTTACCTCAGTTTCCTCATCTGTAAAAATGGACTGGAGAAAGAAATGGCAAACCATTCTAGTACCTTTGCCAAGAAAACTCCAAACTGGGTCATGAAGAGTCAGAAATGACTGAAAAACAACTGAACAATAACAAGCACCTACTATGTGTCATGCACCATACTAAGTATTGGGGGGAAATAGGCAAAAGATAGTCCCAGCCCTCAAGGATCTTACAATTTAAGTTCCCTATCAAATGGACACCCTGAATGATGGAGTTGCCTTCTAAGACATTGAAGGTAGTCACATGGCAAGGATGAGGAATGACGAAAAGGTAGGCTTAGTATTCTACTGGTATCCATAAAATGTCAAGAAAAAGTGACATTTTGGATAGACCCTTGTGATGCACCCATGGGAGGACCAAGACAAGAATCACTCTTACAGAATGGACAAGACCAGATGGGTTACAAGCTACATAGCTGGAAGGAATATACAAATTGATGAGATTATACATTTATTCTTAATATTGATGCTTTGATGGATGTGTGATTTCTTTGGCCACAGATTTGTTTTAAAAATCATCTGTCATTCAGCTGTTTTCTATTAACATTAATAGGATAGAAATTGTTCTTTGATCTGTGTCGCTGATTTGGAGCTGCTTCATAGAATTCTGATTTTAAAATTGCTGGTGCATAGTAATCATAAAATGCTTGATGAGACATGGCAATTTAATTGTGCCATCCTGAGCACATGAAGAAGAGTCTGGACTTGTCAGCATTTCCCAGCATGCCTCATTTACATTCTGATTTTTGGTGCTGATTGTGCTCACTGTTGATTCAGATTCCATAGGAGAAAATGAGAGCAGACTCTATGAAGTAGGGACATTTTTTCATCATATTTTTCATATTCCAATTAAAAAATGAGACATTACTCTAGAGTAGTTGAAAGTGGCTTAGTAATGGCTATTATGTTTAAACCCTTCTGCAGAGGATGCTGTGTATCTGGATAATGACAAGGAAAGGGAAGAGTATGTCCTGAATGACCTTGGCATTATTTTCCATGGAAACTTCAATGACATAAAAACTAGGAGCTGGAACTATGGTCAGGTAAGCCATTTTGAACTTTATCATCATCTTTCCAAGCATTTATTTAAACCCATGGTGCCCAGCCTTTTGGGACCCCTTTTTAATGGCCAAAAAAAAGTTGTGGTCTCCTACTTTAGAGTAGTTGGAGTATTCATATCTGTTTATTGAAAAAAATGCAATCTCTTCAAAAAACTATAATGCCCTAATGAATTTGTGATCTCAGTAATGTGGATATGCCCAGAAATACAGATTTCTATCCATCCATGCCTGGTTTTACCTTCACCATCCCTTAAGTTTATCAAAGAGGGCCTACCCAATATATGAGGGGTCTTCCTCACTTTTTCTGAACATCATGAGAATGCCAATGGAACATAGATAACCAATAGACTATCCATTGATTATGCCTCACCCTTGCCACCTGGACCAGCCCATATTTCTTGATTGTGCATTTCTTTTAGGAAGTCCTTTACTCTTATTATTCTTCACAATTTCTCATTTACAGAGTATTGCATCCTACCAATGCTCAACATGTATCTTACCGTTGCCCTCCAGACAATCTTCAATTTCAATTCTTCAAGGACTGTAGTGTTCCATTATGAACCCCATAAACCTCAACATAGTATCTATCGATTCTTGTTTGCATTTTATTCATTGCAGCAGCATATGCATATATTTTAATATAGTGAGCCTAGATGTGCAAAAATGGGCCACAGGAGACACTCCACTTGTATAGTGTCTAACAGTAAGTATAGATGAAATTCATTGCACAGGAGAAGAGCCATCTCAGGCCCTAGAGTCTTAAAGCTGGGGTTTGCATAGGCCATGCCAATGGGGAAAGGTTCAATGAGATTTGTGATCTTATACCAGAACGGCATCAATCACTCTTCTGTACTGATGGAGGGTTTGATACCCAAAAGGAAAGCTAAAAAGAAAAATACTGACAGCCTCCTCATGACCCTGGCTAGGGATTTTATGACTATCTCAGGTGGTGATATCTTCTCTGGGATGGCCTAGGGAGTGTGTCTTCAGGCAAAATAGGAGTTCAAGAGGGAAGTGGTACCAAATTATTTTGTCTCTGGGTAGAGGGGAAAAGCAAGTTTCAGAGATAAAGAAGACTAAAAGGCAAGAAGAAAAAAGACAACCTGTGGAAATTTTGGAGTTGTCAAACATCCCTATTGTCAAAGGGATGCCTCTACCTTCTTCTACCCTTTTATTTCTGCCATTCTGAATTCTCATAGGAGAAAGACCTCAAAGTATTCTTTTGTCTTACCATTTCTCTTCCAAATTCAGTCTGGTTTTGCAAACATTTATGTCTTTTCTACATAGAGCACCTATATACCTATATAAAAGGTCCTTTTTTCCGTCTGTTACCAATGGATTTAAAATTTTATCCTACAAGCAATAAAGAGTCATTGAAGACTTAATCAGGAAGAGGGGGTGACATGGACAGATATTGTTTTAGGAATATCAATTGGATAGCTTGGTAGAGGTTAGATTGGAGAGGGGAGAGGTTGGAGGCAGAGAGAAATTCAGAGGTTATTGCCAAAATCAAATCAAAAGATGATGAAGGCCCAAACCAGGGCAGGGGTGGGTGGGATAGATGCAGGAGATGTTGTTGAGGTAGGACTGACAAGACTTGGCAACTGATTGGATATTGAAGTCAAGGGAAAGTAAACAATCAAGGATTACCCTGAGGTTGTGGATTGGGCAACTGGAGAAATGGTGATGCCATTAACAGAAATGATATAGGTTTGGAAGACAGGGGTAGGTTTGGAGAAGTAGAATAAAATAACGAGTTCTATTTTGGATGTGTTGAGAATGAGATATCTATGGGACATCCAAGTGGAGAATAGATCGGGCAAGAGAAAAAGGTTAAAACTATTATAGGTATAATGGTGCCACCACAGATTGTCACTCCTGCTTTCTCACAGTAAAGGTGTGTAAGCACTCTTTGTCCTTGTTACTTTCTACTTTTCCCATTCTCCTGAGGAGGATTTATACATGTATTTCTCTTGATTTTTGCCTAGCTTTGTAAAGCAGTCCCATATTTCTGTCTCTCATGACTCCTCTTATTCACTGTTTTCTTGACTATTAATACATGGTACTCTGTAGCTGGTATATTTAAGACTCTGCTTTGTTCCTTTTCTGCATAAGAAGGTTGGATGTTGGTACAAAGGATTATTAAAGAAATCTTTTGTGTCTTGTTGGAGATCCAGATTGGATTATAGAGGTGGGAGGGATACTCAGTTTTTTCTGGCCTGCCATAGCTTATAAGTTGAGCTTACCTATTGTTTCTGTTTTAATCCTTTAAAAAATACTGAGCTACATGCTGTCCTATATTTCTATCTGATACTTTATTTCTGCATGTTTCATAGCCCAGACCTCCACTTTTTTATATGAGTATACAACATATTTCAGGTACATTTAATGGATTGAATAGACTGTTATTGGACAGGCAACCTAACTACTCTTTATGAAGTTCCTTTGGCAAACTATGCTTAGTTTCTTTTTTTAAAAAAATAAATTTGTTGATCTCTTTAGTTTTTTACATTAGAACTTCTTCCAATATCCCTGCCCCCTTAGCCTTACCATATAGCAAATAATATTTTTTAAAGAAAAAAAGGGAAAAATCATCAAAGCCAATCAATAGATGGAAAAAGTCTGAAAATAAATGCAATGTTGCACATGTGTGAACCTCCCACCTCTGCAAAGGAGGGGTTTGGGTATCTTCCCACTTCTCTTCTTTAGGGCCATGTTTGTTCATAAAATACACTTGGTTTCAAACAATTCAGGTAAAAAATATAACCATTTTTAGGACATAAATTAATCATAAATTGATGGATTGTCTATATTATCAGCAAAGTCTACATTAAGTCAATTAAGAACATAGCTTTTTATGGACCATTAACACAATGTTTCTACACATGAATGCTACTAATTACAAATGAGTACTATCCCTGTATTAAAGCAGTAACTGTAGTTCCTCTAGTTAGGCATGTGTTGTTAGCATCTAGTTGGATTATAACTATCTGCACTTAAAAGTGATGAGTATTTCTTTTTTTTTTTCATTACAATTCAGCCAATTCACTAATTCAGCCTGAAAACCTTTACCCCTCAAAAATTAGATCTAATTAATGAGTTTTAGTATACTTCTCTAGGAGCACACACATTTCAAGAGGGAAACATTTTGTAGCAGCAACAAGAGGAAAAATAAATAGCTTATGTTGCATTTGTCAGAAAGTTTTGCTTGAGGGATAAAAATCAACAGCTAACATCTTCCAAAGGTGAGACATAGTTTTGTCTTTGATGTTTGTGTTCATGAGTAATGTTTTAAATAGTGCTGCTATCTGTGAGTGTGGGTGTGAGAATAATAATGAAGATCTACCTTTGACCACTGCTGCTCTCTGTGGCCTAGAGTCACTGCTAACTTGAATTGAATGCCCCATGAAGCTCAACCTATAAAGATACTGATGGTGGTTTGAAAGTCTTTGAACTCAGTAAGCTACAAACATCAAGCAAATTCCTGAAGACAGATGTCCAGGAGCTGGTAGATGATTTTAGGTTGTAATATTGAATTTGGAAAATGCACACACAATGAAATGAAAATAAGGATAAATTATTTTGCAGAACTAAAATAGTCTTATGAGCTGATAAGCCAGAAAAAGACAAAGATAATGTGCCAGGATACATCAAGGAAACCCAATACATGATAACTTGCATTACTAATAGAGACCTTGTTTTCAAATCCTGCTCTCTGGGCAATACATTACCTATTCAGTGTTGCTTTAATTACCAATAATCAATAAATTCGATTTCCCATGGGAATCAGTCAATTAACAAACATTTATTAAGCACTTACTACATGCCAGGCACTCTATTAGGTTCAGAGAATACAAGTAAAAAGATTGAAACAATTCTTACTCTCAATGAGCTTATATTCTATAGAAGGAGACAACATGTAAATCTTGAAGGATTCTGTAAGGCACAAACGAGGAGGGAGAGCATTCCAGGCATAGGAGATGGTTATCACAAGGACATAGAGATGGGAGATGGAATACTGTGTGTGAGGGACAGAGAGAAGGTCAGTTTAGCTGTGTCATAGAGTGTGAGAAGGGAATAATGCATCAGACTGGCAAGATAGGTTTATGCCCATTTATAAAGGGCTCCAAAAGCAAAAGAGAGGAGTTAATGTTTTATCCTAGAGGTAATAAGGAAACTATTGGAATTTATTGAGAGAAATGACATGGTCAAATTCATACTTAGGGAATGTCATTTTGGCAGCTGCTTGGAGGATGATCTGGAGAAGGGAGAGACCTGAGTCAAGGAAACCAATCAGAAGACTATCCTCATGCCCATCCATCCTCCACACAACACTTTTGTTGTCAATCTGCATGTCTCTATGGATTCCAGACCTCCCTAAAATCTTATGCCTGTAGGATCTGAGAGCTGGTGGGAATGTAGTCTAGTCTAACCCTTTACCTATACCAAGAATACTCTCTACAACCTCTCTGATAAGTTGTCAACCAGTCTTCATTTGAATACTTTCAGTGATGAGGAATTCACTATCTTACAAGTCAGCCTATTCCACTCTCAGAAAGCCCTGGTTGTTAGGAAGCTCCTCTCTGTGCTGTACTGAAGTCTGCCACCTAAAAAACTCAGCTCATTGATCCTAATTCTGTCCTTTTCTAGAGCCACATAGAATAAGTCCAATCCCTCTTCTCCCTGACAGTCCTTCAAGTATTTAAAATCCCTTTTATTTCTCCTTAAGTCTACCCTTCTCTAAGCTAGATATTCTCAAGTCTTTTAACTGTTTATCTTATCAGATGTCTTTAAACTCCCTTACCATCCTGTTCTTTGGATTCATTCCAATGGGACTAGTACAGAGGTGCTCGTCAGTTCCCTTCATCTGAAAGCTGTGTTCCCATGAACACAAGAAGCTCAAGTTTATAATATATTGTAATGACCCCAGTAGCTTCCCCGCCCTTCTAAATGATGATGCCCAAGGGAAACTCAAAACCCCT